TTATGTTATCTGCTAATATATGGGATTTGTTTTTTACCTTGGAAAGTGATTTACACGATACATGTCCTCTTATATATTCCATAGAGAACATTTTGGAGCAACCAATGCATTTTGTTAACTAGGAATAAATTTTCCTTAAATCATCATTTTACTGGTATTAAGTTTATTTGTGAGTCAGGTTTAGGTTGTTCTAATGCGATACTTCCCCGAAGACGTTTTTACGAAAATTTTATGTTGGTCCTCTTCCTGTAACAGCGGATTATGTTTTAAAATGATGTATTACATACAATAATTTACAAAAATCTTCCAGTGTTATCGAAGTATATATTATAATAATCACTTATTGCTTAAGTTAATTAACCTTTTCTTTTTAATACCATCACTGCTTATTAGTTCCTTATTTGTCCTTGCTCATACCACACTAATTGTAGGTACTTCAGACCAAGTCCCTCTAAGGTCCTAGCCCCGCTAACCCTGAGATCTTTTGCCTACTAATGATAAATTTTATACTTCAAACCATTGGTAGTTCTCATTGCTCGTTATGCTTTCCTGGATATAATCTTATGCATTTTATAACTAAATGAGTTATCTTTCAAAAGTCTTAAAGATCAAGCTTATAATACGAGTTGGGTGAAGCGTGACGACTCCTTTTTTATTTTGTTGAAACTGCACTTGGCTGTTTGGAACATCGAATGCAAAGGCGTCTCATTAGTACTTATCTCTTCTTTGGAAAGTTTTACGATTATCGTGGTAAGCTTTAAACAAACAAAAAAAAAAACTTTCAAATTCAGGTGGATTTCTCTCATTTGTCAAAGGCGAATTTTTATTGAATTCATTCTTTTTCATGCAATTTGTTTGAGTTTACATAACTCTTTTACATAATTCCCATGCATATCTAGCTTTATAAAACACACGTGTATATTAATATATGATTATGTGTACATACTTATCTGTGTATTATTTTAAGAATAAATAAAAGTAACACTATTCATCTCTGTGTTTGGACTTCTCAAAATATTATTTTTTTCAATAATAAAAGTCGTATTGGTTATAGAAAAATAGCAAAAAAAAAGTATCAGAAGTTGGTAAAAAAAATCGAAAAGTATAAGCGATTAAGAAAGAGTTGCAGCACATCCTCAACAACAACGAGGGGTAGTGTATAATTAGAAAGGCTTAATATGTAAATGAAGACATTACTATGAGCAAGCAACTGAAATAAAAACAGTGGTATTGATTAATAATAAACCAAAACTAGGAAGCGAAGTTTATACTTAGAATTGCAGAACGCAATAGGAATGTTATTGTTAAGAATTGTGTTACAGGATAAGCATAGATGAACACGTTGGAAGAAAAAAAAAGGAAAATGTAAAAAATTATATCACTGTTAGCAAAATTACATAAAACAAGAATATAGGACAATATCAAACCTTAAATGTATAGAGCAAAAACATACCTTAGCAATATGTATGGTGTTTTGAAATGTCTTTTACTCACAAATTAGCAAAATAATTCACAAGATTACATTAGTAGCATCAATGTTACATGTTCTTGAAATTACCTATAGAAGTATAGGGTCATGACATTTCAAAACACCGTACTACATACAAGTTGCACCTTAGCACTATATAAAACCTGGTTTTAGTGTTTTCGATTTCTTCATGTCCAGGGTTGTTGATGAGGGGTGTAATTCCCCCAAATCGGTATAACCCAGTGATGAGTGGTCGATTAAATGATGGATTTCTTAATACAACATATCTTAAGAATATACTTTTAACTATATATATATAAACAATGCATTTTAACAATATGCTTTAAGAATAAAAAACATCGTACTTTAACAATATACAACAACAATAACATACCTTAACAAAATAGAGCAACAACATACCTTAACAATATAATAAACAAGTTACGTTGACAGTATAGAAAAACGCCACACATTTACAGTCAGATTCTTTTTTATCTTGTTAGTCATTACTTATTACATAACTAAGAAACGTTGTTTTGTTCATTAAATAAATTTGATTCTTATATGCATTGCAATAGAGCTTATAATTATGAACTACGCTGGTTAGTCTCTGTTCTATCATACCAATCATAAGCAAACTTTACCAAAGTCAAATCGAATATGAAAGACACAACTAAAATTTTACAACGTAAATTTTTACTAACATAGCCAATACAAGCAATACACATGCTTAATGTTACCGAAGCCTCCTTGGTTGTGGGAACATTGGAATTCTTAAAGATTCTGAGAATAATTTTAAATACTCAATAAGTAGTCAGACAGGATTGTCGTATTTTGTAGAATTCGAACCTCATTTCACGTAGTTTAGAAGAGAAATACGGTTGAGCAGTTGTAATTGAGAAGTTAAAATTACGATGTAAGAACATAAGACTTTCTCCTTTAAATTAGGCTGTTTTTATTTGCAGAATAGAAGAGTACGTATATCAAAAATTAAGAAAGCATAAAATCCAAAAATTGAAAGTTCTAATTTTTTATGAACAAAATATTATTTGTAAATTTTCTTCACGTTATTTCCCTAAAGGGAATATATTTTTTAATCCATGTTTCTGAAACTAATGTGCCTGGTATTTGTCCTTTCTCTTCAGTACATAGCGGGTTTTGAACAATATTTTACCTCCCTCAAAACAAAATATTTATTCTGTATGCGGTTCTCTGAAAGTAAATACAGTGGAAAAATTTATAATGTTGTGTAATAGAAAACAAAGCTGTTTGTTTGTTATTGAGCACAAAGCAACACA